GGTGTTGATGGTGATGATGATACTGGTGATGATGGTGATGGTGATGGTGTTGATGGTGATGATGATGGTGATGGTGATGGTGTTGATGGTGATGGTGATGGTGATGATGGTGACAAAGGTGTTGATGGTGATATGGTGTTGATGGTGATGATGGTGGTGAAAATGATGGTGGTGACATACTGATAACCCATTACTGACTAACTTCCTCTGATTCAGGAACTTTATCAAAAAGACCCTTTTGTTTGTCTGGTTTGAAATCCCAACAGCATTGCTGCTGCAGAAATGACAGCCCGTTTTCTTTCTACTGGATTTATGCCACTGGAAATATGGATATTGTGGTTAATTCTGAAAATGTTACATGAACTGGCTCAGCCAGTTCAGTGTCTGCCTTCAGCTCAGGTCGTGATCCCGGGGTCCTGGGACTGAGCCCCATGTCGGGCTCCCTGCTCAGCTGGACGCTGCTTCTGCCGGCTGCTCTGCCTGCTTGTGTTCTCTCTCTCTCTGTCAAAGAAATAAAATCTTAAAAAAAAAAAAAAATGGCCTTTATCTAAAATAGCATGTCACTCTCCAAAATAATTCATTTACTCATTGGGCAAACACGCGTTGCGGGCCGGCCGTATCGAAGGCCTTGCTGAGGTTAGCGTAGTGGACAGGCCGTTCTCCCTGTCCTTCCGGAACTTGCTGTTGGGCAACGAGTACAGTACAGTGGCAAGAGTGTCGCGTGAGCCCAGAGGGCGGGTGGCCGAGCCATGTGGGGAAAGGCTACCGGGAAACCGGCTGGTGAAACTTTGCTGCACTAAGGTGTGCAGGAGAGGAAAGATCCAGGCAGAGCAAGCGGCTTGGGGAGAAGTGGGACTTAAAGGAGTCCCAACGCCCGAGAAGCAGGACGGGGCTGGAGGAGTACACAGACAGGTCACATCCTTCAAAGGCTTTGTTTGCTGCAGAGAATGGTCAACCCCTAAGGGCATGCGGGAGCCCGAGACCTGGAGCATGAAGGCCTGAGGGAAGGGCCCGAGGCAACAGTGGAAAAACGTTTTTGAGTGTTTTTGTCAATAACAGCATCGAAAGGACAGTACAACGTCCGCTAGTCAGTCCCGGTGGCCCCACGGGAAGAGCCGCCTGTGATGTTCCTTATCTGACTACTCGCTGACACGTGTTCCAGCCGTGGTCATCAGGAACACTGTCCCGCCAGAACGTGGCGACGGGACGCCTGAAGGTGCTTCTCAGACGTGGGTGCTGGTGAGCAATGGCAGGGAGGAGAAGGCTTCGTCAGAGCCTCGAAGGGGCCCGGGAGCCACAGTCCCGGAAGGACACGCCTGGAAGCCTCACCTTGCCGTCCCCGGGCTGTGCGGACTCCTCGGGGAGTCTTTTCTCCGTGACAAGAAGCGAATTTTACCGGCTTCTGGAGCTGTCCCAAGGACTCAGCAAGAAAGTCAGTTGTGAGTGTCCCAGCACAGGGCTTGGCACATAAGAAGGGACTGACACATCTATAACCTCTCCCTCACCCTTCCCACAGTCCCCATGCCAGGTTGCTAGTCTTGGAGACAAAGTACGTCCAGGACTAGAGTCGCCTATCGCTGACCCGCTGAGCACCCACTGTGGGGGCCACCGTTCCTGACACATGTCCCTGAGGCAGGGAGGACCCATAAATTACACTCGGGAAACATGTTTCTTCCTACTAGCTGGGGCTATGACCCCATATCTCTGTCTGTTCTCCTTAGCACACTGAGCCTTGTGTTAGCTAAGATCTCCATTCACCCGTCTAGCTTAAAAGCCTGCTCATTCATTTTCATTCATTCATTCATTCATTCATCCATTTGGTCGTTCATTCTTGCATCGATTCACACATCCAACGTTTAGTGACTGCCCTCTGCATGCAAGCATCATGTTGACCGAACCCTGGGCATCGTGGTTCTCCCTGTCTTGGAAAGCACGATCCTTTCCTGGACCAAACTAGATTCAGGGGGAAAGCCTTCCCCCATGGTTCTGTGAGCTGCTCCTGTTAGATCAGTAACTTCCAAGTTGCCCGCACTCCTCAGCATCCTCACCGTTACCGTCCAACCGTCGGGGGCCTGGAGGGCGGGCAGGGTGGGGGGACACAGATGGCCCACTCATGATCAAGCCGGGTGCCTTGTTGTGGCAACATTTGTCCTGAAAACCCTTGCATCCTATCCACTTTTCTTAAACTTCTTTGCATTATACGATCTTTAACAACTAGATTATGATCTTTAACAACCTCCCTCCTGTGCGTGTCTAGGGAGCACTGTATCTGGAGGCAGGGCTGGGGAGGGGGCAGGAGCAGGGAATACAGCGACCTGATGAATCTTGGTTTTCTAAGGCCAGGGCGAGCCACATGGCCTTGCAGCGTGAGCGCGGATCCTGGGGGAGAGCTGCTGCGTAGGAAGGCCTCCTTCCTTTCCTGTCTCCCTCCCTCTCTCTTCTTTGAGCCCTCTGACTTTTATTTTTTTAATTTTCTTAAAGATTTAATGTCTTTGTTTGAGAGAGAGCAAGAGAGAGCATGAACGGGGCAGGGGAAGGACAGAGGGAGAGGGAGAAGCAGGCTCCCCGCTGAGCAGGGAGCCCGATGCGGGACTCGATCTCAGGAACCCAGGATCATGATCTGAACCAAAGGCAGACGCTTCATGGAGGGAGCCACGCAGGCATCCCCAATCCTTTAAATTAATTACAAGATTAATGACAGAATAACACCATCTAAGACACTACCCTTCTGACAAAGGCGCACTGATGTCTGGTCCCGGTTGTACGGACTCGTTTCTTCCTTGCCTCAACTCTCAGGTTTTTTGCAAGCCCGGGACCTGCCCAGCCGAGGCGTCTTCCCCTTTGTGCAGGCCCTTCTCTGCAACACGGGCTCAGCCTGCAGGAACACGAGCTATGTGGGCCCGATGGAGCGCCATTTGCGGTAAGAGAAACACAAGCGCCCCCTTTGGGACTCATGGGAGCGGGCAGGATGCTTTGAGGAAAGCCTCATGGTTCGGGGGAGGTCGGGGAGCCGCACATGACGGGATCCACGGTTACAAGAAGATCAGGGGTGGTAAGTGCAGACTCCTGTGAGAACGTCTGTGGCTAACGACTGGTTTCGGGAGGTCTTTTCACGGCTGTCGCTGGGACCGCAAAGCGACCGCTGATTCACAAATGTCACTCGCAGGTAAGTGTGTTTTCTGTAGCTGAGACGTCCGGCTTCGGAATTACTCTCTTGGCCAACAGTGCGTTTTGGTGCCGGGTGCCGCCAAGCCAGCGTCTGTGAGGGGCTCCCCCTGGGGTTTTCCTGCTGTGCTCTTTCGGACCGGGATCCTGTGTGGCTGCGGTCAGGTGAACAGTGGTGTTTATCGCCTTCTTGTTGACCTACTTGGGACAGGTGGCACTTCCTCAAGCCAAGGCACCCTGTGGCAGCCTGAGGGGGGTCTGTTGGCATCGAAGACCACTCAGAGAAAAAGCCTATGTGTGTCCTGGGAGAAGAGTCAGGAAAAGGGGGTTTGGCTTTGAGGATCCCGAATGCTCGAGGAGCTTCATTCAGCAGAGGTAGAGACCAAGGGAAGGGGCTGATCATTCGACTGTGCCAGGCATGAAATCTGCGTTTGGTTTCGTCTGCGCTTCCCGGCGTTGCTGCTCTAAGACCTATCCGATCCTCATCTCTCCACTTGCAGTTAGAAGCAGAAAACCAGAAGTTTCCAGGTCATCTTGGACACGTCTGGTACGATGTTTATCCGGGGTGCTTAGACATGTTTTTGCGACAGGTGATCTAAAAGTATGACAGAGAGGAAATCGTTCAGGAGCTGTCTGAAGTCTGAACCCCGGAGTAGTCAGGGGTCTTCTTGCGTGCGAGGCGAGGGTAGGAGTTTACCAGCGTAAAGGCCTCTTGCTGATTTAGGTTTAGGAGGCCTCGAGCTTGCCGGCCTCCCTGTCCCGTCGCTTCCTCCCTCAGAACGGACACCGAGGTGCTGTTGAAGTTCGAAACGTGGGCTTTGACCCCAAACAATGGCCCCGCTCCTGCTTACTTGTGGGCATCTGTGCATGTTCCTCGACCTCTCTGAACCTCGGGTCTCGCTTCCCTGCCTCCAGCGCCATGAGTTTAGAGAACAAAGTCCAAGAGACTCCTGGCACCATGTGTGGCCGGTAGTGATAGCGAGTTCTAATTGCTCGGCTGTAACCCTGAGAGACTGTGGTTCCTCACCATGAAAGAGCTACCCCCTTCCCCCCACCGTGCTCCCCACTTCCTCACCCCCTCCTTCACTTCGCTGAAACTCAGGGACTCTCCCAAACCTGCTGACAGGGTTTTGCACCCGATCCGGGGGGGCCGGCTGTGCCTGGCGGGGGCAGCAGGGAACAGGAATGAAATGCCCCTCGGCGTCTACAGGTGCCCGAGGCAGTGGTCTGACAGGTGCAAGGTGAGGCAGGAAGAGACACTCGGAGACAGTGTAGGGGACGGATGCAGGGGAGCGAGAACACGGCCTCGTGCAGCTCCCGGCTGGGACCTGCCACCTGGCCGCACTGCTGGCTTGTCCCCCTCGTGGTTCAGCCGTGAACTGCCTTGACCTTCAAAGCTGCACCAGGACTCCCTTCTGATTGCCCTGCGGTGGGAGCTGGCTTGGCTTCCACGAGTCAGAGAGCCCAAGTGTCCATTTCAAGTCTCTTTAAATGTTTTCACGGTTGAGTTTAGTGTGTGGATTTTCACGCCCTTTGTCACGCCCCCAGGAAAGTTCATCCTGGGCACAAGTCCTCTGTTTCACCTGCTGGAGGACGTGAGTATGAAAATCGACTTTCTTATTCGTGGCTTTGTGGGGAGCCTGGCCTTGGCCCTGACAGGAGGGTCTCAGGGCTCCCGTGTGAGTCCTCCCGGGAAGCAGGTTAAGCGGATGTTCTCACTCAGTGCCAGGCATCATTCCTGTGCTTTTAAGGCAAAGCCATGGCACAAAAGCACATCTCATGCCCACGTGCCCGTCACCCCCTTTCTACGTGGACGACTCCGTGGCAGACACCACACACCCCGGGACTGTCTTCTCTCTGGCATGGGGCGCCCTGCTCTCCCGCGGTCCTCATGCCCTCCTCTTGGCTTTGTCCTGTTTCTTCCTTCTCAGGTCCACCCCGAGCCCTTGAGGATCCCCTCCCGTCCCTCCTGCCCTACGGTCTGACTCATGCCGCTCCTCCCGGCTTCTGGGTTTCCTGAGCACACTTTGCACCCTGACCTGCGTGTCGGCCCCGTTTCTGCCTTTCCACTTCTGTCCATTCCAGGGTCCTTTATAACCAGCCGAAGGCTCGATCTCCTTCCAAGGCAGCTAAGAGTTCCATCCTTGTCCCTTAAAAGGATGGAGGATGTGGGGGACATCCAGGAGTACGGGTGCTCGAGAGGGAGTTCAGGAGGATTCTGTCCATGCTCACGGCCCCGTCTGTCCTTCTGCGATCACACGTGTCTGTCCCCTCCCCCTTTATGCTGTCCCTCCTCTAGCCCTCACACTGTCGGGCTGCACCCCTCCGTGGTCACAGGTCCCCTTCCGCAGGAAACCCTGGCCCTGGAGTAGTTTTCTTCGTGGCCTCTCTGTGGCATCGTTGTTAGGAGTGTTTCCTTCCGGACTCTATCCTCCTGGACTTGTTCCACCAGACCAGAGGCCCCTGGGGTTGATCTTGTTCCAGACGTTTTGGGTCCCCTCTCCATTCGTGACCTTGGAAATGAAGGGGAATCGTCAGGGTGTTGGGAGACGGGAACATCAGGATGCCCTTGTCGGTGACACTTACGGACCCCGCATGGTCTCATTTTTTCTATGGGGCTGCAACCATGGAACTAATTGCACCTTCTTTGTCGCCTCCAGGCCCTTTCCTTCTCCTTTACAGTTTTCTCTCTAGGGAGCCGCAGAGGAAAGGCAAGTTCACTGTCTTCCTGGGGGTTATGTCCAGGCCCCTTCCCGGAGCTTAGCCAAGAGCCCACCCAGCACCAGCACTGGCTCAGCCCCTGGGGCTCTGCTGGTCCTCCGCTCTGGGGGTATCCGTCGGCTGCGCCGGGTTGGGGCTGTGTCTCGTGGCTGCTGGCGCCGTGGTTCAGTGCAAGGGTCTCCCATCTTGCTCTCTCCACACTGCACGGTGTAGACGCCCCCCATCGTGTTGATCCCTTCCTTGCTCAAGGATGGGCGTGCCGCTCATCTCCCCCTGGGATGGGGGTTTCGTGGGCGTTTAGCTGCAGAACACACTACTGCACTGGTTCCCAGAGCGCGTGTGCGACGTTCCGCTCCTCACATCCGTGTGCGAGGCCCAGACGCCCCACTTCTTGCTGTTACTTTCAGCCATTCTCAGGGTCGAGTCTCGTTATCTGAGTGTAGTTTTGGCATTTCTCCGATCGTGAACGGTGCGGTCATACTGTGATTTCTAAGACGCGCGTACGTGGTCATCGGACTGATGGTTTTCATCCCTGGTTTCTGGCTCCCGCCCTCAGTCTGGGGGGGATTTCCTAAATGCCCAGGATTTGTTTTTGTTTTGCTAATCACGGTGACTTTTGGGTCCCTCCCCGGGTGGGGGTGGGGTGGGGGTGGGTACTGGTTGCCGGGGGAGCCAATCTGGTGATTAGAGGGTTGGATCTTTCAGGCTCCACTCCCCACCCCTGCCCCTCCCTTCCCAGGAGGGGTGAGGGCTTGAAGGTTCAATCAGCCAATGGCCCATGATGTAATCCATCCTGCACATGTAAGGGGCCCTCATGAAAACCCAAAAGGACGGGGTTCGGAGAGCTTCCGTGTTGGTGACCACAGGGAGTTTGGGGACAGTGCTTCCCGGGGAGGCAGGGAGGCCCGCACCCCCTCCCCAGACCTCCTCTGGGGCAGCTGTTCCCTCTGACTGTTGGCTGGTATCTTTTGTTATATCCTTTAATAAACTGGTAAACCTAAGTGTTTCCCTGAGTTCTATGCGTCATCCCAGCAAATTAATCAGGCCTTCGGAGGGGACCGTTGGAGCTCCGGTGTGTAGCAGGTGGTCAGAAGCACCAATGACAGCAGCTGGCGTCTGGAGAGGAGCTGGGACGGTGCTGGGGTCCAAGCCCTTCACCTGTGGGGTCTGATGCTGTCTCTGCGTAGATGGTGTCAGAAGTGCACAGAATCCTTGGACACTCTGCTGGTGTCTGACGATGGCTTGGTGTTGTGAAGAGGGTGGGGACCCTCCACATGTTGGATTTGGGTCTGGGAGCCATAAGAGAGATGGTGAATTCTCTTTTCATGTGTTTCCTGGCCATGTGAACTTTGTGTGTGTGAAGTGTTTGGTCAAATCTTTTTACAATTAGTCGCTGCATTTTAATCTTGGTTTTTATTGAATTCTTAGGGTTCTTTACATATTGTGGATACAAGTCATTGATGTGAAAGATGTATCATGACTATTTTGTTCCCAGCTGTGACCCGTCTTTGAAGAGCAGCAGATTTCTTGTTTGTTTTGGTGCTTTTTGTGTTACTTCTTAACGGGATAATTTATCTCAGTGAAGGTCTTAAAGATGTCCTCCTAGAGGAAAGAAGATTTTTCTCCTTCTTTTAGGGGTTTTACAGTTTTAGCTTTTTGTTTAGGTGCACGATCCATTTGGAGTTAATTTCTGTCTATGACGTGGGGCACGTGTTGAACTTTACCTTGTATTTTAACTTATGGGAACTCAGCTGTGCTAGCACCATTCGTCGAAAAGGCTATCCTCTGCCCACTAAACCATGTTGGTGCTTTGGTTAAGAGCCGACTAATCCAGTAATAATACGGGAGTTGTGTTGTTGCACTCTCCTATTTTAGTGATCCTATGATACATATTCTCAGTAACTATCACTGTAGTGAAGGTCTCGAAATGAGGGGATATGAGACCTTCATCTTTATTGTGTTTTTCAAAATTACTTTAGCTTTTCTAGCTCTTGAATTTCCATGTAAACTTTATTTTATTTTTAAAGATTTTAT